CGAGTCGCTCTTCCTCTGCCAAGAAAATGTTGTGGCCTACGGTGGAGTTCGACCGCGCCGGCACAACCAAAATCGAAATAACAACAATAACAACACTACTCCCTCTCTTCATCCTACCCCTTCTCCCTCTTCCTCTGCCTGTTCTTCTCCTTTGCCATCCCCTTCTCCACCTCCTTCCCGCCGTTTCACTCGTCGCCAGACTGGCAGGGTGAGCCTGCTCACTCTGGCAGCCTGGAATGTTCGTTCCCTTTACGACAATCCGAGGTCCCGCCGACCGGAACGGAGAACGCGCTAGTGGCCCGGGAACTGGCGTGCTACAAGGTGGACATCGCCGCACTCGGCGAGACTCGATGCTCCGAACAAGGCCAACTGGAGGAGATGGGTGCCGGCTACACCTTCTTCTAGAGCGGTCGCCTTAGGTCGGAGCAACGAGACGCGGGCGTCGCCTTCGCCATTCCGAACGATATCGTAGGACGACTGCCCTGTTTACCGCAGGGCATCAACGATCGCCTGATAAGCCTCCATCTGCTCCGACGATGACCAGCCCCGACGCACGCCCTCTCGACGACTGTGTCGAAGGCGGACAAGTTAATTGTCCTTGATGACTTCAACGCCCGCGTCGGCACAGACCATGCTGTCTGGAGAGGAGTGCTGGGTCCCCATGGGCACCGCAGCTCAAACGACAATGGCCTGCTGCTTCTCCGCACCTGCGCAGAACACTGCCTCATCCTGACGAACACGTTTTTCTGTCTGCCGGAGCGAGAGAAGGCCACCTAGCGGCATCCTCGGTCGCGCCAGTGGCACCTGCTGGACTATGTCCTCGTCCGGAGGCGAGATCAGCGGGACGTTCTAGTGACAAAGGCGATCGCGGGTGCTGATGGGTGGACCGACCGTCGCCTCGTCATCTCGAAGATGCGTATTCGTCTACAGCCTCGCAGGAGACCACAAGGTAAGCGAACCCCAGGTAAGCTGAACATTGTCTTGTTGTCTTTCTCCGCTCACCATCTCCATTTCAGCAATGAGCTAGCTCAAAGGCATGCATCAATCGGCATATCGATTTAGATGCCACATACAAATTTCTCAAGGACAAATGGAAGCGAGCGCAGCCAATGCCGAAGGGATGACGAAATCGTTGACGCGCATTGGCGCAGACTTCGGCCAACCATAGAATCACTTGTTTGACACGGTTAAATAGTTAACTGTTTTTGTACATTGCCCAAAAGTCTGACGACGAGCTGGGGATCCAGACTCGAAAATTTACTCATTAAAGTTTATTCCCTTCCCAAAGAATCTTACTTATTTTCAAATATATATATATATAGGATGAAGAGAGAAGGGTCGTCGGAAAAATTGAGTTGTACTCGTAAATTTTCGAGCTGGTGACACCAACCCGTCGTCAGACGAAATAAACAGTGGAGAAAGTGAACTGGTCAGAATAAATTTGCTGGCGTGACAGGGCAGCCAGTGACGGGCAAGCAACTAATGTGTGAATGGGGGTGGACAGATAATTAGGCTGGGATCCGTGGCGGGGGAGGGAAGGGGGAACTGTTGCGTCTCCCTGTGTTGGAGGGTAGGGGGGATGACGAATCAATGGAACTATGGGCAGTGGGCTTAATGGTCGTCGATCCGGCATGCGGGCGGAGGTCAGTGAGCCCAACGTAGAGGTGTTACGGGTTGCAGTTACGGTTCGCTGTGTCTGGGGGTGTAATGGGGTAACGAAATAGTGCGATTCTACATGGCCCAGTGTGGATTATCGGCTGTTGTTAGGTCGTGGGCGCAAGTCAGTGAGCCGGGCACGCAGACCTTCGTAATGAGCATCTAGATCGACATGGCAATTGATGCTTGTAGTGTTAGAATGCCAGGCTTCGAGGAATTCACGAGCGTGTTTGGTGTTCGCCGTGGCAACAACTTCAGTTTCTTCCCAGTTGAAGCGATGGTCGCATTCAAGGGCGTGTGCAAACACGAGTGACAAAGGGTCACGTCGGCGGATGGCTAGTTTATGCTCGTTTATACGCGTCCCAAGTCGTCGGCCTGTATGACCAACATAGTCGCAAGAGCAGTTGGCGCACGGAATGCGGTAGATGACATTGGTTTGCTGCTCTTCAGGTATAGGGTCTTTCACTCGCGATAGTGTTGCGCGCACAGAGGACGCCGGCTTGTGGGCAATGAAGATGCCAAACCGGTTTAGTTGTCGGGCGATCGCTTCGGAAATACCCTGCATGTAGGGCAGCGAGTAGAATTTCCGATGTTCTGGTCCCTCATTAGAACCAAAGCCTTGTGGTTGTCTTTGATGCCTGAGACAATTTTTTACAAAGCTGACCGGGTATCCGTTGAGTCGGAATAACCGATACAGGAAAGCGAGTTCTTTCTTGCGTAGATCGTCGATGCTGCAGTACCGATAGGCCCGGTGGAAAAGGGTTCGGACACAGCTCCTTTTATGAGCCGCCGGATGGTTGCTTTCATAATTAAGAATGACGTCAGCACTGGAGTCTTTTCGGTAGACGCTTGTTGCAAGGCCGCCATCACTTAGTGTTTGGATACTAACGGCTAGAAACGGGAGAATGCCTCCTGTTGCCTTTTCGCAAGTAAACTGGATAGCTGGGAAGACGCTATTCAGACTCAAATGTAGCTGCTCAATGTCGCATATCTTCATGATAACAAACGTATCATCTACGTATCTGAGACACATTTTTGGTTTAAAGGTTCGCATAACATCCTCTTCTAGTTGTTGTAGTACTAGTTCAGCTAGTAGACCTGATATTGGCGAGCCCATTGGTGTGCCCCTAACCTGTTGATAAAACTTTCCATCGAATTGGCAGTAGTTCTTGAGACAGAGTCTAAGAAGTTCTGAAATGTGTTCTATCGGAATGTTGGTTGGATTATCTTGCAGGCGTCGGGTTACGCTCTCAATCGCTAGGTCATGTGGTATTGAGGAAAACAGGGCAACTTCGGTTCGGTGAAGTGCTTATGATCCATCTGGTAGGCCTCAGTGGTGGACCGACTGCGCCAGGTGCGTCTGTGCGCGTGTTTGTGTTTCTGGTCCCAGCTGCTGGTGGTCAGGATTATGATTGGCTGAATGTCAGTCAGTCAGTGTCAGTCAGTGTATTTGAGGGAAATAGGCTTACGCCTTTGAACTCCCTATTTGTACATAAAAAAATCGATAAACAAGCAAAAATGTGAAGAAATTACAGCATTAAGTGAATGCATACATTGATTCACATATGTCATTAGTCACATGGTTAAAAAGTCACATAGTCCGCTTGTTGCTGCAGCATATATCTGTCAAGGCGACATTTAAATGTTTCCACAGATTGAGACATAACAACCGTCTCGGGCAGGTTATTCCACGGTTCCAC